CTGCTACTACGACGACGACTGCTACTGCTACTACTACTACTACTACCACTACCACTACCACTACCACTACTACTACTACTACTACTACTACTACTACTACTGCTACTGCTACATGCCACTGCTACTGCTACTGCTACCGCTACTACTGCTACTACTGCTACTACTGCTACTGCTGCTTCCACTGCTACTACTGCTACTGCTACTGTTACTGCTACTGCTGCTGGTACTGCTACTGCCACGCTAGTGCTGCTGCTACTGCTACTACCAGTACTACGACGACTACCACGACGACGACTACGACGACTACTACTGCCACTACTGCTGCTGCTCCTGCTCCTGCTCCTGCTCCTGCTGCTGGTGCTGCTGCGGCTGCCACTGCCACTGCCACTGCCACTGCCACTGCCACCCTGCCACCGCCAATGCCACTGCCACTGCTGCTGCTACTTCCACTGCTACTGCTACGGTGTCTGTCTCATCCGTCGGACGTAACCGTGCTGGGCTGGCTGCAGACTTGTATTGACCACCCAATTTGGAGCAACACGGTCTTCTATCGGGTCTTGTCATCTCGATTGCATGGTCTGGCCTCCTGTCAATCAGAACGATCTACTGGAATCAGGAATCCAACCTTCCCGGAGTTTCGGACATGATTTTTGACATAGATGTTTACACAGGTTGGCAGGAAGCAGATGTCCGCTCTTGAACTTGTCGGGCTAGGCGAACGTTGGAGTGCACAGGATGGCAAGTCAGACCGCCAACTGCAAATTCGGCCGTAGGTGCACTCTGAGCATAGCTATATTGCCAGGACTGCCATAGAGGGCCTCAGAAGTGCCCGGAAGTGGGGTTCACAAGTTTTCGCAGTGGTGGCTGCCGGAAGGCTTCCATGTCTCCCTTAACATGGGATGCTAGATGATAACAAGAAGTCAAGGCCAAAGCCTACAAGAGAGCTTCCGGGTGCATAGATGTTTATGCGTAGACTGTAGATGACGGAGCGCGATCATCTCAGTTTTGAGCGGTGTTCCTCCGTGTATTCGCATTGGCATATGCATAGCCCGAGCGTTCACGGAGAAGAACCAAGCAGATAACATTGACAGTGAGCTTGGGCCATGGCATGCGCCAACTGGTTGCGAAGTCCTGTTGCTTGTGCTTACGGTTTCCCTGCTTGACTTGGATGGCAGAATGGCTCGGTGACAAAGCGGAACTCCTTGCTGGTTCAGGTAAGGGTTGCTTGCGACTTGTGCGACCGATGTTTTCCATGCAGTCCCAGATGATGCTTCCGAATGCAGTGTGATCATACGTGGAACCCCATGTCTCAGCACAGACTGCAGCCATCCGTCATTCGTTCTTCATACTCTTGCTGCTCCTGCCTGTTGGCTCAAAGCCTGGTTTCGCAGTGGGTCGGGTCTTGGGAAGCTCCTTCACCTGAATGCAGGCTTACTCAGGAGCCTTGATAGTCGTGCCCAGTCCTAAAAGTCTAAGCCGAAGCGCCCGTCATGCAAACTTCGACCAGCCGACGGATCATTGCGGACTTGCTAGGGTCGGCTATCTTCTGTACGGCTACCCTGGCCGAGTGCACGGCCCTTGGCTTCATGTGCAGCCTCACAGACTGTGGATTCACAGCTACGTCCTGCCACCTTTGCAGCTGAAGAGTAGCGCAGTTTCGTTTTCTTTCGACGAATCCCCGCTGCCACGTCGCGTCTTCGAAGGTTTTCCATGCTCGCAGTCGTTTTGTACTGTAACCGATCGTTTTCTAGATCCTTGCACAAAGGCTTGCAGCAGTCACTAAAGGGAACGGGCCTCCTGCAGGTGCAGGACTTTCCATGCTTGCGCTATGCTTTGCTCCAGGGCAGAGCTGGCGAGTTTGCCAGTCCTGTAGCTGCAGTTCGGGCCTTCGAAAGCGCACCGGTGCTCCTGACAGAGCTCCAAACTTCGGACAACGAAGCCTCCAGCCAAATCGACCGCACCGCGGTTGAGTGTCAGCGTGTCGAATGTGACAGCGTCTTCAGCACAGCTGGCCTGGGACTCTTGCAAGGCAGCTGGAGGAGATCTGCAGGTAGCAGAGCGGATCGGCTACGTGGCCTTCGACACTTGTCCCACCACTACGCAGATCAAGGCGTTGCCCAACACCGCTCGAGTCGCACTGCATTCCTGTGCTGGGGACTACGTCGTGATCCGCAGCTCGCGAGGCGTTGACATGCACGTCGACAGCAATGTGGTCAAGCTAAACTCCCAACCAAGGAATTTGGGAGAGCTGGAAGCTGGCCGCATCGCACGCTGAACTACCATTTGGGCGTTTCTTGACAGACGATGGTGGCAGTTTGAGCACGGTGGATAGCAATATGCTTTCTGCAGCTCAAGAGTGGGAGGTCGTAGCTGCAGAGGGAGACCGATACTTTCTAATTGGTGACTCTGCGAGAAGGCTGGCAGATGACAACGGTCCACAGGGATTGTCAGATGGTTGGTTGGAGAGCCAGAAGTGGACGTTCTACAACAGAAGTGGACGTTCTACAACTGTCGCACCCAAAGGCTATGCTCGGCTGTGGGCGCTACAACGGCATGTACGCCGTGTCCAGGCACTCAGTCGGTGTTTATCCGCAGCTGGTACGGGAATTTTCAACTGGAGGACGTTGGAGGGGAGTCCCTGCAGATGTCTTCAGGCGATGACCAGGGTATTGAGCAAATATGGATCCTGAACGAGACCTCACGGTGGATGCAAATGGCACACTCGGCATTGCAGACGATTCCGGCCAAAGTGAGCTCTGGAGGTTCTTCTACAGATGCTAGGTGGGAGTTTGAATTATAAGGATGCTTTTTCAAGTTGCATGATTGTCTTCGAATCGTCTCTTAGGTTCTCGCGAGGTCGCATGGCGAGAGGTAGCATGTCACTTGGAGGGTCACAGGACTTACTAAGTTATTTGAGAGAGTCATAAGTACCAGAACCCCACCTAGGACCCTCCTAGGGTACTTATAACTCTACGTATTAACTACTTGCTGAGTCCCCCGACCCTCCAAGCATAGCTTGCGTGAGGTTGGTTGGCCCTAGGGTTTTCTTAAGGTTGCGTCTTCTCTTCAGCTAAATTCCCATCTTTTCACAGCCTGCGGGAGCCTTTGCCTCTTACATGACCATGTTGGCACTGCGCGCCTAGTCGGCTACGTGAGATGGAGCCGGGGGTGTGTGGGGCGCCCTGGCCATTCGTGTGCCGGATTGAGGACCGGGCCAGCGCGATCTGTAAATTCCAATGCAGTTGCCTCAAGCTGGCCTCGAATTGACAACCATGTGGTGCCGCTGATTTTGGCCTCGAAATGTCGGAACCCCGCTGTTACATGGGGGAAGCATGTTTTTGTGCTCATGAATCCCATCTGAATCCAGCAACTAATGGGAGGCATCTTTGTCGAGCGAGATCGCGATATGGAAGGTTTATGGAACGGTTTATGGAACGGTTTATGGCGGGGTTCTTCATAGAAGGGTTTGCAGGGTTTGTAGAAGGTCTATAGAAGCAGAAGGATATAGAAGGATTTTGGAGGGTTTCTTGGTCGGTGAAAGCCTTTTGTCTCTAGACAGTTTCGCCATTGCGCGAACTTCTGTGGCAGGCGCGGGACTTATGAATATTTGTGGTCTGAAGACCTCCAAGAGCTAATCGTTTCTTTCTGATAAATTGATGATAGCATGCGTTAATTATGTCGATGCAACCTCAAGCACCGAAGATGCCGAAACATCAGAAATGTCGTGAGTACCAGCAGCAGCAGCAGCAGCAGCAGCAGCAGCAGCAGCAGCAGCAGCAGCAGCAGCAGCAGCAGCACAAGCAGGAGCAGAGAACCATCAACACCACCATCAGGAAGACAACGATGACCATCAGCATCAAGACTACCTTCACCATCACCACCCCCAGGAAGCGAAAACTGGCAGGGACCAGTGTTTGCAACGACTGTCCGATTTGGATGTCCGAGAAGCGGAGGCTTCATATGCATCGGACAAGGACGTTAGGTCACACCGATAGTGTGCGGCAGGCTCGCTGTAGGAGTTGTGGACCGGAGCCTTCGAAATCTTATGCTGCACCGCCTCGAGAGCTTTCGGAATGTTGGACAGGCGAAAGCGTGCGCAAGCCTTCTCGACGAGGTTGTGCTCGCAGTGGGCAGTGTGATCATTTGAGGCTGCGTGCTTGTTGGCGTGATGCTTTCGCAGAGTTGCAGTTGTACAAACATGCGCGACTCCATGTGATCCTAGGCCGAAGCGGAGATCAGATCTCCGCTTAACCATAACCATGACTCTTCAAAGAAGCAGTCGTGCAATTTACGGCAAACAGACCGACGGCAAACACCTGTCGAGGTGTTCGTGGGATGCTTCAGAGGCAAACCTAGTCACTGCACAATAATTTGGGTCGAATGCTGCTTCAGTGGTTGTTTTCAGTTTCAGCAGTTGATTGTTTCATATTACTTCCAAAATTGCTTTTTGCACCTTAAATCTGGTGCTCCTCCTACCGGACAAACGTAGAACAGACCTTGTCAGTCAAGTACCACCAGAAAGCGCGGGTGCTTGCTGCATGGACTTCGTCAAGATAACGGTGACTGTAGCGCACCAGGCATTGCCGTTGATGAGATGCTGCTCACTGCTAGGGCAATATGTGCCGGGGAGAGGGCAGCGCCCCTCTCACATCTCCATCAAGATGTACACAGAGCGAGATTTTTTTGTAGAATGGGACATGCTGCCGACATGCTGTAGGAGCTGTGCACCTGCGATCAAGTGCGCATTCTGCTGTGTCCATCACAACGGTCGCCGTCAAGGGAGAGGAAGCATGGTGCATCCCGGCCATCCGGCACGTCACTCCCCATGTCTGTCACAGTCTGCAAGCTCATAGCTGCACCTTCAGGTGTGGACAAGTCCACGTTCTTGCATCCTGTCCTGGTTCATTCTGTTGTGCAGCCGTTCTTCACAGAATTTGAGAGACCAGCAAACGGACAGCAGCTCGGGAGGTGCATTCCTGAAAGAGACGGGCCGGGCATGAAGACTACGGTAGCAGAGCCGGGGCAGTAAGACTAAATACGCAGCAGCACAGCAGCACATGACCTGCATGGACCATGCTGCGCCATGGGCAGACCTCTGCATGGGTATTCCTAGCGGTTGTACTGCTTCTGCAAGCAATTCGCTCAGTCCAGGGTGCTGGAAGGCTGGAGGTATTTCGAGTTTATGTGTCCGGAAGCACAGAGGCTTGTTGGCAGACTATGCGCTTCTCCAATGCCTTCGAGGAAGCTCCTGTGGTAGTTGCAATGACCACAACCCAGGGAAGCAGCCCGGCCAAAATTCGAGTACGGGCTGTCACGAATGCCTCCTTTGAGGTTTGCCTCACGGAGCCTTGGGAGTCGGATGACCCAGAACACGTTGTTATGTATGCCAGTCTCATCGCAGCTTCTCCTGGGGTCCACAAGCTGCCGGACGGTCGGATTTTCGAGGCAGGCTTTCTGGAAACCATGCAGCGGCGGGCTGCTAGGTGTAGACCTCTGGACTTCCCCAACAAGGGCTGGGAGAAGGTCTACTTCGCTCATTCATTCTTGGAGCCTCCGGCTCTTTTGACTGAGCTCCAGACAGCAAACAACGAAGTTTCGAGTCAACCTGCTGTGCCGTGGCTGGTGGTTGGTGCCTGTTGCGTGACATCGTCCCAGGCAAGCCTGACTCTGGATTCTGTGGTGGCCTTTGACGGCGGTCAGATCAATGTTCCGGAGCAGATTGGCTACATCGCTTTTGATTCTGCGGCGTCCACCACAGAGATCACGGTCCCCGCAGTGCGAGCCTGCCAAGCTGGGCAAGAGGTGCTGATCCGGAGCTGGAGTGGCGAATACTTGCAAGACAACGACGGTGTGCTTGAACTGGCAGCGGATGCGGCTAGCGGGGATTCCAGTCGGTGGATGACCACCCTGTCCAACAGCAGGGTAGTCTTCACAAGCCATCGGTCCGTGCGACTAACTGAGACGGATTCCTCTAGCTTGGCCTTGGAAGCCCATGGCTCGGGACAAGAATGGGAGATCGTCCAGGCAGATGGTGACCAGGTGTACCTTTTCACCCAATCGGGGCGAAAGCTAACTGACGATGGCACGCTGCAGTTGCGGCCGCAAAGCGTGCTATCGAGCAGTGAAGACTATGATTATTACCTGCCAGTTCAGAGGTGGATGTTACTTGATGCCTCCACCAGGGAGCCTTGCCCAGACGTGGTCGAGGCGCCTTCCACTGCAGACCGAACGATCTCTTATGCCGTCGTGAGGTCGGACCCTTTCGCAGATATGGGCTGGGATGAAGGCGGGCAGCTCGTGGCCTTCGGGAACACTCTGTCCAATAGTGCTCCACTGGTAGTGGCAAGCTTGATCACGAGGAACGGCGCCGATGGCGGCTGGCTGCGGCAAAAACGCGATGAAACGACCAGCGCTGCTGCAAAGCTCAGGATCGACGAGAACAGGATCGAAAATGCTTCACGATGATGAATAGGAACACGTTTTTATCGCAAAAGTTGCCAGTAGAAGGGGGGGGGGGGTTTCAGTAGACGGCCGAGCTTGATTAACCGAGGAAATACCCGCCTTTTCCGTGAGCCTCGTGCTCTCCTCGGGGCCTTGGAGTGCAAGCTTTGCAGAAAGCAATGGGAGTGTCGGGTGGTTCAACGTGGCAGCAGTCAATGCCACGAACTTTGTAGATCCCGACCTGCAGATCTTTAGGGATGATACGGTTCTACATTTCGACCTGCTTTGCAATGCTGCGACGAACTGCCTGCATGCGCTGCGTTTTGGATCCTCTACCCTTGATTCAGCTTGGACGGTAGCCAGCATCAATGCAGAGTACTCCCCAACTGTGGGGCAGTGGCAATCCGTGCAAGTGAGTCTTGATGGAAGTAGCGTATCCTACAGCGGCACAATCCCTTGGGATGCACTTGACACCTTTGAGCTCATGTCGGAATCCCCTGGAACTGTGTCCTGGGAGGTTAAGAACCTCACGCTCCAGTTAGCAAGGTTGAGCTGCACCGATTTATCTAGAAGCCACGGAAGCTCGGAGAGAGTGGCCATGGTGGCATTTGATGAATCCTTCAGCATGGCGGTAGATTCCACGAGCACGACCTCTACATCTAGCTCAACAGATACTGTTACCTCCAGCACAAGGTCGAGCACCAGTACATTCTCAAGCACCAGCACCGGCACCATTAGCAGCACAAGCACCACGACGAGCAGCAGCAGCAGCACAAGCACCACGACGAGCAGCAGCAGCAGCACAAGCACCACGACGAGCAGCAGCAGCAGCACAAGCACCACGACCAGCAGCACGAGCAGCAGCAGCAGCAGCAGTGCAAGCACCACAACAAGCACAGCCACGCACACCAGCACGAGCAGCAGCACCCGAAGTAGCACCACCACGAGTTCGAAGTCATACACCATCACTACAAGCTCAACTTCATGCACCACACTCACGGTCACATCCACAACCAGCAGAACAATCACACGGACACTAACGTCCACAACAAGCAGCAGATCAACCACACTCACGCTAACGGCCACAACAAGCAGCTCAAGAACCAGTACAAGCCTAACCTCGACATCAAGTCAGACGGCAACAACGTCGCACACATCCAGCAGCACTTCGACAACATCGCCAACAAGTACGACGACCCGCTCAAGTACGAGGACCAGTAGTTCCAGCTCAAGCCTCAGCAGTACTACTACTACACGGTCGACTTCGCAGTCCACCAGCACATTGACGGCGGGCAGCATTGCTGCTGCTCTCACAAACGAGCTGCAGCGCAACACCAACTTCCTGCTCAGTTGCCTGGCACATGTAGCACGTCTGTTCTTTTGGTTGTCGATCTGCTGCCGAGGTCAGCTGACTAACGTAGAGAATTCAACTGCATCTGCGACGACAAGTCTCGGCACTATGAAGGCCGTCGAGCTACAGCCTCAGCATTCGGCATGTGGCTCTTGCTAGTCAGCAATCAGCAACCAGTCAACGAAGTGAAAAGGTTGAAGGGCGCCCCTGGCAATTCGAGCTTCGTGGCCGCAGTGGTTGATGGCAGTGCGGCAGCTGTTGTCCTACCTTTGGAGGCCTTAGTCTTTGCGTGGTCACTGCTAGTGGTGCTAAAGATGAGCGACCGGCCAGTCTGCACGCCTTGCTGCCAGGCTGTTGACGAGAGCTTGTAAACATCCGTTACATGCCTGAAAGCTTCCAGTGTTAGGAGCCCGTGCTTGTCGGAGCTAACGCAGTCTTAAGTGTGTGCTCCCATGGCTTTGGCAGGCCTTGGGTGAGTTGGGCGAGAGCGCGGTGCTGGTGCTGACCACCTTCGACGGCCCCGAGGCTTCGGAGCTGGGCTCGGGGCAGAAGGCGCAGACGAAGGCGAGTCGGCCGATCGAAGCGGCCACGCCGGCGGTGGACATCTCAATCGTGGACAAGGACAGCTTGAGCGCCCAGGAGGTGCAGGTCAGGACACCGATCTTCGTGCGCATCGCAGAGGTGGCCGCGGAGCCCAACTGGATCTGCGCGGCCCCAGCTGCATTCAGCAGTGTTCTCGCAGTCGGGGCGGGCTTTTCAAGTCTAATTGTCAGCTTAAGTCCCGAAGTTGGCGAAAGCAGAAGCCATGTGCAGAGGGGTTGTTGAATGTCGAGGCGTACCTGGACGGCGACACCTGGTCCACAGAGGGCGTCCGCTTGGCGACGCCAGCGGAGCTCGAGACGGCCTTCGGAGATCAGGCGAACACCTCCGGCGTTTGGTGCGCCACGCTGCACCTGTCCATCTTCGGTGCCTTCATCGACATCCTGCTGGACTGCACGCGGCTCGGCGGCAAGGACGCACGTTGCCGCACGTGTGTGACACGGCATTTAGTGCCCGCAAGCCCAGCCCAGGAACGCCAACATGCTGTCCCAGGAGGGCCTCCGGGAGATCGTGGAGCGACAGGGCTGGTGGATGCGGCCGCCGGCTCTGGGCCTTTGGCTGTTGCTGGCCCCCTCGCTGCTGCTCATCGGCCTGGGCCGGCTCAGGGACGCCCGGGTGCACCGCTCGGGCTTCTGGCGCGACGAGTACTTCCTCACGGACCTGCCCCCAGTGCCGCAGAGTCTGCCATGCTTGTGTGGTACAGCCTGGTTTGGGTCCCGAAAAGAGCCGCAGACCACAGACGATGGAGACGCGAGCCACGAGGAAGAGGAGCAGAAGGCAGAGGAGGCAAACGAGGCAGAGGAGGCCGAGGATAGCCCTGCACAGGGTGCCAGAGGACGCCGGCCTTCACAGAGCAGCCTTCCCTCCATCATGTCCCAACTTTCCTGGTTGCGAGCCGGCATTCCGGATCCTCAATCCATGCAATTAAGGCACGATCTGCTCCAACGACTCAAGCCGAATTTGGCTGCAGGCATGCAGGAGCGCGTGATCTGTCGCAATACATTATGGGAGGTGGCCCGTCAACATAACGTCCACACAAGCTCCATCCAGACTCACATTTGGGGTCGAAGCGGCTGGGTGCAAGGCAGCCTTGCTGTACAAAGGTCTCCACAGCTCAAGGTCTTGGCCTATGAATTGGAAGAGACTTTGCCACGTGCCTTTGTGGAGGTCCACACATCTCGTGCGCAACGACTTTGGGCAGCGATGGTGGCATCGCATCCCGTGTATGAGCTCTGGATGTGTGATCTGCACATGACAGCAGCAAAGCGGGCGAAGATCATGATGGACTGCCTCCTTGGATCCCTGGCTCTGGCCTCGGTTTCTGTCCGGTTCTTTCGGGGTCTAATGCGATTTGCGGTGGGCTGAGAGGCCTTCGTCGCCCTGTTTTTCTCCGTTGATGGAACGGCCGTGGCGGCCAGGAGCCCTGCGGAGTGTCCCATTGATCAGGGAAGCTTCCTCTGGTACATCTTTGTCGCCATGTTCTCCATTCTATTGAATTTTGTGCCCCGCCGCCTGGAAATTTACTTGGCGCGGCGCGGCTTCGTGCAAGAAAGCCGGCTGAACCGACGCTGGCAACTTCGTGTTAGACGTTTGAAAGATGTTGGCTTCTGGGCTTTTAGCTTCTGTCTTTCCGGGCTGCATCTGCTGGTCGTGTCTGCCTTCCTGGCCAACATGGCCGAGGCTGGCACAGGGGTTCTAGCACACCAAGGCCGACACAAGCTCAAGAGCCTACTGTAACCTACCGAAATCAGAAAGGGGTCTGGGCTGCGAGCTTTGGCCGTGTCCAGGTTGACGAAGGAAAGTGGATGTTCACCTTTTTCGTGGTGCTGCTCCGTAAGTTTGTCTTGGTGCCGCTGCTGGCATGCTTGTTCTCAAGCCTCGGTACAGAGCTCTCCGGCTGGGGCCAAGAGAGGATTATGCCGCCCAGGAAGCTAGGGTTGGATCTGCAGCTTGACGGCCAGGAAACTCTGCCGACAGCTGAAAGTGACAAGCAGGTATGGCTTGACAAAGTGAAAGAGCTGGCGGGTCGCGGCATCACCATACGGCAGCTGCTCGACTTCTATGCGGAGCTTGGGCACGAGGTCATGAAGCACTTTGATCCCAAGAAGTCCACGACGCATGATGCCCCTTGCTCGGGCAGAGATAGAGACGTGAGAAGTCTGTGGTTTTACAGACTGCGCAACTCAAGCCCAGCGGACGTGCATCTCTCCTGCCTTGCCAAGGTGGTTCGCCAAGCCATCATACCGCGGTCGCTGCAGCTCAGGGATTCTCGCTACCTCGTCGTAGTGGTTCATCGTGCGACGGGACTCGCTGCTCTGGACTTGTTCTCGGGCTCCGATCCATACTGCGTGGTGTCGGTGCAGGGTTCGGGTGGCGTGTCGAAGCCTTGGAAAGGTGGTGGAAGGACACCTTATGTGTCGAACGACCAGAATCCAGTCTGGGAGGAGTCATTCCTCGTAGAGGACCCGTGTGAATGTGTTTGTTTTTTTCTTCCGAAGTTGCCTTGTGTTCGCCCGCGGCTGCACGAACTCAAAGGGCCGGATTCGGCGTTCCGGTTTTAAAAGGCAGTATCAAAAAACTATTACTGTCCAGACGTTTCTAGTCTCTTTGTCATTGGGCGAACCTGGGTGGCTCTTTCTCAGCTCGAAGCGGCCCTGGAGGACGTTCTCCATGAAGAGGTGTTGCATTTCACCCTCTGGGACCACGACTTTGCCTCGAAGGATGACTCGCTTGGCAATGCTTCGCTGCCAGTTACCTGGGCTTAGTTCAATGGATCTCTATTTTTATATAAGAATAAAAAATAGTATAATATATATATATATATGTATAGATGAGAGAGAGAGATATATATATATATGGTATATACATACATACATACATACATACATACATACATACATATATATATATATATATTTGTATACACATATGTATTTAGAGAGAGAGAGAGAGACACCGCAACTTCTTGTATCCGTGTGTCAGGTGTCCAACTGCTGGCATGGGCTGCGTGGAGTCTTGGACGTCAGGGACGGCCGGGAAGGCGGCAGGCTGTATGCACCTGATCTTGGCATCAGCTTGTCTTACTGCTCGCCTAAGATTACCTCCTCTTCCACATGAATCATAATTCATCATCCTACGTGTTCTCAGCGTTCTTGCACTGCTTTGATATCGTGGCATGATTAACATCAGCACTGGGAACCACGCTGTGAGGTGATTTGTACAAGGCGTACCTGCGTAGACATGAAAAGTCTACACGTGTTAATCTGTATTAGCGTGCTGACGTGCCGGCAGATCAACAGACAAGTATCGTCTAGTAACACGACCTGCGTCGGTAGCAGCAATAGCAGCAGTGAGCGGTAGCAGTAATGGTAGTAGTAAGCGGCAAAGGTGCACAAGTTGTCACAACAGTAGTAACGTTCGACCAATGCCTCAAACACATGCTACGATGACCGGCTAAACCAACCACAGGGGCGACAGCAAAAATGACTTTGTATTTTGCGCACAACCGCCGGTAGTACCAGTAGCAGCGGGAAGCACCAGGCAGCAGCAAATGCAGAATCAGAAGACGATACAACGGAAGATCACTATTTGCACTCGATAGCCGGAGTCGGGGAATCAATAAGTTGGCCCCCATCATCTTTCGCACCGGCTAGCAGCAGCCGAAACCATAAGCCGCGACTCCTGCGCTCAAGGTATCCATCAAGGCCTACGAGACGCCCGACGAAGCCCAGGCGGCATGGCGGCCACCTGAGAAGGTCGGCGATGTGTGGGAAACCTGGCTAGATGTCTCAGGCTAACACTGGGCTCCAGAAAGAAGGTTTCGGGCGCAGGGTTTAAGGTTGAGCGAAAACTCTGAAATTGCTTGTGCACAGCAGCCCTCCGGTTGCAGGCGTATTCCTGGCAAGATGCTGCGAGGGGTAAATCCGGTAAAGGATCGGTCAAAACCACATGCCATGGACCCTACCGTCTTCCCAAAGTGGCGTGCAGCAACAGATCCGGACTGGTCCTGGCAAGCCCGTCTGCAAATGCTGTCGTTATCGTTGCTATTGGTAACGTCTTGTGCGTAGGCTTGCATGTTGTTTCTTACGTATGCATGCATAGATGTATGTATGGATGTAGGTATGGATGGATGTATATATATATATATGTATGTAGACATATCTACTGAAGGTATGATATGTGCGTTCTTTTAGAAACATCTGCACCTCTATATGTACACAACATAGACAGACACGTGCACACTGATACACAAACATACATAGGCACATACGCTGCACACAGACGTACATGTAATAATGTAATACATGCATACCTGCATACCAGCATGTCTGAATTACTGGCTTGTTGCAGCACAGGGTTTTCCGGAGGGCCAGGGCAAATTAAATTGACAATCGAGCAGTTGCTAAGTCCCTAAGCCGAAGCAAAGGAGAGCAGCGCAGCGTGGCGAGGGTTTCACCCCAGAACGTCCAACGACATGAATAATTGGTTCGATACCCACAACTCGTCCTTCAAGGTTTTGGGGACAAGGTAAAACGGGTACTATAGGGGCTAAATGATTTCCAATACTCTTTTGGGTCGCCTTAGTAAAATCATAGTAGAAATTGCCCCATATCTAAGTATTGCGGCCCCTATATTGGAAGAGGATGGGTTTCAGCTTGAGACAGGCCCTTCGCTTCATCAGCGGCTCTGGATCGCTGTCTACTGTTCGATCCTCTGTGCGGAAGCAGAAGAGTGGAGGCTGGTCTCTTTACAGTGAAGGATATGGGGCTTGCGTTGCTTCTGCTGTCCGTAGCTCTGCGAAAGTCCGCATCTACATCTTGTTGATTGGTTGGGCCGGTGGGGCGCTAATGCATGGAGCAAAATTGGAGCATGACTAAGATCAGTAGTGTGGGAGTACTACACTACCTTGCGTTACTTCACGTGGCACATGTTTCATTCTAGTCTATCTTATTCTGTTCTGTTCGATTCTGTTCTGTTCAATTCCATCCTAGATCTATCCTGTCCCGTTATATTATATTCACCTGTTCCGCTTCTTCGCACTTTTCCATCCGTCCCTACTTCGTCTGGTGTCAGCCCGCCTTGTCTGCCTTCGAGTTTTTGTCGAAGCAAGATCCCTAAGACAAAATCCAACATGCCATGGTTATTTTCTATAAATCGGCGCATCTATCTTGGCGTGTGTTCGCAGGTGCATGTATGTATATGTATTTGTGTATTTGTGTGTAGGTACGTACATATGTATGCATGTAGTCTTTGCATGGTTGGGTGTTTGGGTTTATATGGAGAGAGTTGTCCCAAACCTCGCCTGACTTTGTCGATCGCGAGTGCTCAGATTGGATTGTGCATAATTAGTTAGTGTTTACATATATATATATATATATATGAATGTATGTCTGTCTTTATGTGTCTGTCTGTCTTTATGTGTCTGTCTGTCTTTATATGTCTGTGTGTCTGTGTGTGTGTGTCTGTCTGTCTGCCTGTAGGTATGTATGTGTTTTTGTCTATTATGTATGTCAATGTCTCCCCGAGCTGACATTGGTTTGGATTGACGAGATAGAGGGCTCTCAAAGTTCCAGTTTGTGGAAGCCTCCCTGTCTGCGGGGCTTCTCAATCTCAATGCCTTCAGATATGTGCGTATGCAGTAGGGTGCCTGGGTTGTTTCTTTGAGTACTTGGCAAGCCCTGGCACATGCGCGTGCGATGGCTTTCCAAGTTGTGCATGCGTCCTAGTCTCGGGATGACAAAATCATACTCAATACTGTAACTCCGCCTTCTTTCCGATAGTGCTATAGCTAAAGCTAAAGTCGTCAAAGTGAGTTTGCAGCCACGAGCGCTGCCTAACTCGTCCGTACCCGGCAAGACTGCACGGAGGCCTGGATGCAACAAATGTACGTATGGATAGATGGAGGTATATACACATATACACATATCCATCTACAACCATGAGAATGTCATGATGGGTTACCAAGCGAGCAAGGGCATGCGCTCGCATCCGCGCGTGTGCCGGGGAGTGCGATTTGGCACGTTTATCGAAGCACTGCAGCACGTTCAAGACGGCATTGATTAGACTCATTGGCGAGAAGTTATGAGGATCCAAGAGGGTGCAGAGGATGCAGCAGCGCCAGGTTGTGACCTTTGCAACCTTTGCGGAGGTAGATCTAGGAGGTGACTTCAGATGATGAGGCGTTTCTTTGCAAGTTAGTCAGCGGCCTCGGGAGTGTTGGCCAGTGTTTGGCAAACAGGCCTTCAGTGAGTCTTCCGTGGTGTTGGAGGCCTGTAAGATCTAAACATCTCTCTCTCTCTCTCTCGCTCGCTCGCTCGCTCGCTCTCTCGCTCGCGCTCGCACTCTCGCGCTCGCACGCTCGCTCTCGTTCTCGCTCGCTCTCTCTCTCTCTCTGTGTCTCTCTCTCTCTCTCGTCACTACGTCCCTCTCTCTCTGTGCCATTCTACAGCTTCTGTAAGCTTCCGAATTTCGCATGAATGGACGTTTCCGGAATTCCGGACTGGAGCAACACCGCTAGTCGCGAGCGACAGGATTTGAGAGAACTGAGCGAGAACACTGTGAGCGAGATGCGAGCAATCAGGAGCCTTCCAATTTGGGTTTTCCACGTTGCTCCTGCTCTCAAGCGTTTTGCGGCTCGTCGCGGCAAGCCCACATCCTTGCTCTAAGAAGTCTCCCTAGAGTCTTGCCAACGATACATTCTACGTACTGCTTGGTCTTCAATATTTGCATGCCGAAGAGTGTCTTGAAGAAAGTTGGAACCCCGGGGTTTTGGGTGAAGTTTGCAGGTTTACCACGCCCCTTGCCCTCAACTGGCCCGTGAAGGTTCTCGCACATTTCCAGACCTGCATCGTGTGCTTCTGCTAGAATGCCTCCCCTTTCTGCCTGCCCTGCCTCTCGCTCACAGCAAGCGGCTTTCACCTAAAGCACTGTTCCTGAGCAGGCGCCCCAGATGAATGCTTCGATCTATGGGACACAGATGAGTGCACTGCAGTTGGAAGCCGCCTCGCGAAGAAGTTTATCCCGTCAGCCTCGCGGGGGGTCTTGGCTGAAGATCCACACGCCCAGGGAGAAGATGAAGCAGCCACGGGGGAGCATCTTCGTCCCAGATTAGATGGCGTAGCTCAATTGTAGACCGCCAAGAAACTCGTACGGGCACTGCCACAACATCCTGCAACAGCACCTTGCAGTAGCAGTATCATCAACAACAGCAACAACACCTGCTACTGCTACCGCTAGTGCTACTGCTACTTCTACGATTGCTGCTACGGCACGGCTGCCAAGCACCTGGGCTCCAGCCTAGAGAGATGAAGGAGATGTGTGAAAACTTGAGCCTCCGCAGTAATAACAGTCATGGGACACACCCCGCGTCCAGGTTTACTGCTGTTCTTGCCAGGGTGGTCAGTGTTACAGCCATCTTTGTTTGGGCCACATCCTGTCGGTTCAGTCTAGGGCCTAGGAGGTTTGTGTTGTAGCTTCAGTGCATCGTCATGAGGTGCAAAGTTAGGGTTGACAAGAAAGGACAAAGAAGCATGTGAGGTATCATGGTTATGCTTATGCTGCCGTGATGAACAGTGGCCGGCCCCATTTTGCGCAGAAGATGGTGACACACAGCTGGCAAAACATTGTCTCTTGTCCGCATCTGACTGAACTTCCCTCGCCAATGTCAGGTTCCAGGTAGAAAAGCCTTTCGGGTCCCATGAGCTCCTCTCACCTTCTGCTATGCTCTTCGATGATTCGATTTCCAGAAGAAACCTATAGGTTTGACAACAAAAAGAGGCCAGCGCCATCAGAGAGCGTGGCTGTGAAGTTGTGAACGTGATTGGCCTTGCTTCTGCCAAGTTCAGCCACCTCATTGCAGCGATTCTTGCCGATGCCCTGGACGTGGAGAAATACGATGAGATCGCCAAGCTCCTGGTGAAGCGCAATTTCTCCACATTGAGTGATGCCCTACGCAGGAAAAACTCCCTTGATGTCCGCTACTGGGTCTGTGCGTTCTCCGTGAACCAACATGCTGGGATTTGTGCGACTCCACCACCGGTGGACTCGACCGGACATGCGATAGCCCCCTGCAGATGCGGGACACCCAAGCATTTCGCCGGTGATCTTAGCGATGCTGAGCTGCACGCTAGTTGCAATGTGGATCACTTGACATGTCTAGGTGCACGAGCCTGCTGAGGGAGCGCAGTCGTGCTAGTAGTCCTTGAGGAGATGAACAAATTCGACGACATGATGGCCTTCCTCAAGAGAACCCTACGCCAGCAGCAGGGTCAGGTAGCGCCGTTACTTCATGCAGGTGTTTAGATCAGCAAGCGCCGAACCGCTTCATTTTGCAGTGTTGACCCCGAGTGCTGGGTGTGCCCATGTCGACTGAACCTGAAGTTGTGCATCCTTCAAGCCTTCTGTGGAGAGGTTCGCTTGGAACAAGTGATTGCGCTCGAGACGGATTTCGCGCTACTTACAGCACAGGTTGGCGTCCTACCATTACAATCATTACAATCGCGCTCCTGACACGAGTATGGTGTGTCGCTGAGCTAGTCGAAGCGAATGAGCTGCACTTGCAACAGGCCGTCGGCTTACATCGCTCGTTGGGCAATGCACTGCGGCCTTGGTACAAGTAGCGGCTTGCCCCGCTTTTCTGCCCTGCCTGCAGGCTGTGAAAATTCACTCGGCGTCCTCGCGAGATGTTTGCTTGGATAGGCTGGTTCAGCTGGACGTGAGAAGCGCCCAAGCATCGTTTCCAGCAGACAAGGACACACCGTCAAGGCAAACACCTAGAGGGTAGGTTCTCAGCACGGGTCCACGCGCAGGACTTTGTGCTGAACAAGATCCAAGATGTGGAGGATTTCAACACGCGCCTCCAAGATCTCATGTTGCATCGTATGGAGTCCTTTCTGCAGACCAGCCGAGCCAGCACGGCCGCGGACCTCTTTGACGAAGCAATCCTAGCAGTCGTTAACGTGGCCATCTGATGTCTTTTTGATGGCTCTTCACATTTTCAGGCGAGTGTTGGAATGTTAAACTTTAAACACAAGCCAAGCCTACATAGTGACTTCGGGCCATGCAGTGCCTGTCAGAAAAATCAGGCCGCCTACTCTTCGACCTGCCAAAGGCAAGCGTCGTTTTCTGCAGCGGCTATTTGCATGCCAGCTAGCTGTTCTTTGCGTTAGCAAGAAAAGGCCAGAGCCCTTCTGCCTTCAGCCTTGATCGCAGGCCACGATCTGTAGAGTTTGTGTCCTTGCTCTGAGGCACGGCCTGGCGCCGCCGCCCAAGACATCCCAAGACCTTGACACGGGGACATGCGAATGGCAGGATAAAGCAGGGTCCTTGCAGTCTTTGCAAGAGCTGGTCGCCGGTTCCGGGATACCCAAGCCGTTCAGACACCCTGTGGAGACGCTGGCTCAAGCAACGCTACAGTCGCGATTCTAATCCTTTGGTCGCTGTATCAAAGAAGCGCATGTCTGCCCTGTTTATAGCTCGTCGCAGGTCCTCGCATGCATCAATGGACCAGTGATCCTAGTTTTACATCAGACAAAGGCGCTGCCTGGGTTTCTGTAGCCTCGCTCCAGCAGCCATGAGTCGAAGCTGGCGGCCCGCCAATGGCTCCCACAAGGCAGAAGAACCACGTGTTTAGACACCCGCAACGAGGCTTCTGTCGGCTACAGGCCTTTTCTCTCCGGGGCTTAAGGGATGTTCGGGGGCACGGCTCCATCTGTACCCGTGCAGCCTTGCGAGAAGCGCTTTTTGCGAGGTCTCAGCAAGACGTCCGGCTCCCGGCCCTGGGAAGGCAGAGCACGCTGTCAGATCTCAGATACTCTGCATGCGGCGTCGGCGCACCTGTAAGATGCTGTTGGCAAGTGACAGCAAAGTCGCGGAGGCTGCAGACGATGCAGCATCTGTGCAGCTGCAACTGGCAGAGCTTGAGAAGTCGTGCCCTGAATTGGCGATGGTTGTCTCCGAGTTCGAGGAGGCCAACAACTCATGCTTAGCGTGTACACAACCGAAGCTCCAAACAAATAGCCCAAACCCCATGGGAAACTCCCACCACTTTCGATAGTGAGGAGCTGTCACACACGGACGGCTTCGCCAACGATGCATCCTGGTGGCGACACATCGAAGCCCGCTTCGGACTCCGCTGCCTCCTCCTGCGTCTCGAGGACGGCCGGCAACACTTCGAAATCCATGAACAATTCTTACCATGCATAGGATCATAAAATGGGGGTACTTAAAAAACTGCAACCATTCCCGGTTTTGCTTCCTCCGCTGTGTCGGCTCCCAGCTCGCCATTTTGATCAAGAGTACTTAAGCCTTAAGTGAGACCTTCACCTTCACAGAGCCAGGAGGGCCTGGAGTCTGCTGCGGTGCGCTTCGAGCGCGGTTCAGGCTGCATCGCTTTTTTTGATCACAAGAAACGTCGGCTGGTTGGGAAGGACCCTCTTTGTCGACTCTCGAAGCTTTGGGCCCGGAGGGCCCCAACAGCGGTTCCTACACAAATTTCGTTGCTGGCGAGGGTCCCTCAATTCCAGGTTGTTTGAGTGTCGTGGGGTACTGACTACGTAACCTTCGGAACCCTATCTTGGTACTCAAGGTTGTTTGCTCTCATGTCAAGCGTGTCTGAATCCGAGCAGATCACCTGAACCCAACGTCTTGGACGTCGCACAGTTCTTACAGAAGTTGGAAAACAGTCACATCGTGAGTCAGCGATGTCAGCATGCCATCCTGCTTGGACCCATTTCGCGGCTGCGGGGTGGCGGTGGGGGGGAAGCATCAGACAGAAGCACTGATCCAGCATCGATGGCTCTACTGTTGTCCAACTTGATTCCGTGCCGTGCCGGATTCTTTTCAGCGAATATGCCCCATGCATTGCCCAACCACAGAGAGAACGAATGGTCGATTGTGACGAGAGCAGCTACCAGACAAGTTCAGCCCGAGTTCCCAAGACTGGCAGTTCGGTCTGGCCTTTAGGAGCTTGGACATCTGCAGGCAGCAACCAGGGCAGGGGCAGATTCGAAACCCTGCAAGCTGTCGAAGCAAATGTCGACACTCCGAGTGCCTGCACAGGTGAACCATCGGACGAGTCGTGGAAAAAGGCGAGGACGGGTGCTTGGATTGGATGCTCGGAAAGTCCACACAAAATACAGCGATCTGATTGATGCTCGGAGGTCGGATCGTAGAACTTGGGAAGTGGAGGTTGAAAGTCAAACATGTCAGCGTGAAATAGTACAAACCCGCTTCTGCGCGAAATCATGTTGATGTCATCAAGTGTCCTCCTGCCCGCTGTGGCTTCTGCTGGCGAAGGGTTCTAGTTGGTCTAGCTTTCCTTGCGTTTCAGAGTTCAGTGACGGTCCTCCAGAGAACGAAGTGCAACATAGTTTCGACGAGATTCCTAAAACCCGAAACCAACCCTCATCGCAGGTAGAGATTATGGACCGACTCCTCAAGTCTTTCGAGCAGACCACCGAGCCACGATTGGCAAAATCGGCCCCCTGGTGCCCGAAGTGACTGTTTTTATATGGATAAACAACAGCATTCATGCATTCATGGATGCATACATGCGCAGTGTGCTCCAGGCATCTCCAGGCCATCCACTCGCTCGCTCGCCCACTCCACTCCACTCCACTCCACTCCGCTCCACTCCACTCCACTCCACTCCACTCCACTCCACTCCACTCTACTCCACTCCACTCCACTCCACTCCACTCCACTCCACTCACTCCCTCACTCACTCGTTCGCTCTCTCTCTCTCTCTCTCTCTCTCTCTCTCTTTGCTTATACGATTATATGTACATACACACAGAGTATCTATTATGGACCCCCACTTCCTATCCTGCTTGCATTCTAAGGCCCCTATATAGCACCAGGTTCAGGCTTGATTGGGGTTTAGGGTTTAGGGTGGCATGCTCTTCATCGACGATTGGGGTTTTGGGGTGTAGGTTTTTCATCAACGTTTGCGGGTGTTGGCGTTCGAGGGCTGCGGGCCGATGAGCTCAAGCTCCGAGGGCTCACTTCCAGGGTGTTATAGGGGCCTTGGTAATTACCTATAGTATTTTGGGGGTTCCTTATTATAATTTCAGCTTGGTGTTCTTCTAGGACTTTAACATTTTGGGTTTCTAAATGAACCAGAATAAGGAGACTAAAAGTTTGTTTTTTTGGCCCCCCAAACCCTACTCTAATTATTAAGGCCCTTATATAATAGACCCCCAAAACCCTACCCTAATTATTAACTCCCCAATAGAATATACCACCCAAAACCCTACTCTAATTATTAAGCCCCACATATATTGTACCCCAAAACCCTACTCTAATTATTAAGGCCCCTATATAATATACCCCCAAACCCTACCCTAAACCCCTAAACCCTAAACCCTAAACCCTAAACCCTAAACCCTAAACCCTAACTCTAATTATTAAAGCCCCCCAAAGTGTTTTGCGCTCATGGCTTAGGGGCTTCCAGGTCGGGACGAGCATGGCTTTCAGTCTAGCTAAGAGGGTTTAGGGTTTAGATTTTAGGGTTTAGAGTTTAGGGTTCAGGGTTTAGAGCTTCGGGTTTAGATTTTAGGGTTTATAGAGTTTAGAGTTTAGGGTTTGGGGTTTAGAGTTTAGGGTTTAGGGTTTAGCCAAGGTTCTTGTAGAAGTTGCGACTTAGGATTTGCCGGTGTTGCCAGGGGTCAGCCAGTTCCGAACACATCGTGCAACACAGCAGCATGTCCTGCCAGTCTCGGATGCTGCCCCAAACAGCATACGCCCCGAAACCCTAAACCCCTAAACCCGAAACACGAAATAAACCCCGAACTCAAAACCTACAGCCCGAAAGCCATAAACCCCAAACCCAAACCCAGGTGTGGGAGCTCCCGAAAGCCAGAAGGCGTTGAACCCCTATAGACACCTTCTAGCATACTGATGGACAAAATTCTGCATGACCCAAATATAGTATAGTGCCATAATCCCATAGTTTAGGTATATAAGGTCATGTAGGGTTTTGTCCATCAACAGTACTAAGCCCTAACCTGGAAAGCCCTAAATCCTCGCACAGCTCTTTCAAAAGCATCGTCCGACCAGGAAGCGCCTCGCTCGCCTCTTGGCTGACTGGCAGCTGACAGCTCAAACCCTACCTAAACCCCAAATAACCTACCTTTTTAGGGACTTATATAAAGAAATCATAATACTGAACCCTAGAAAGGTAGGTTCTTCAGGGTCCAGGTAGTGTGTAAGCTTCCTCCAGCCCAAGGCTTCTTTAAGCGGGCTTCAGGGGCGGTTTAGGGTTTAGGGTTTAAGGTTTAGGTTTTAGGGTTTAGGGTTTTTGGGTTTAGGGTTTAGGGTTTAGGGCTTTTAATATGTGAACACTGTTATCTGGTTTATGATACTAGCTACATCGAGGCAGATGTGCATGATGAAGGCTCCTGCTTGGGTCTTACGAGCCTTGCTGTGTCTCCGAGAAGGTACCACTTACTTAGGGTGCCTGTTCTCAGGAAACACAAGGGTCAAACACAGGGCTCTCCTTCTGTTGGGTTGGGGGTTGTGGGCATACCATATGATATGCCCTATCCGAGCTTCAAGAACCCGACCTCTTAAAAGGTATAGCCGCTGGTCAATAAGGTTTTGGCCCAGGTATCGAAACCCTCTGAACTCTGGCTCCTTAGACCGAGTATTCATCACGAAACGCTGAACCCATCAAGCCTAAATCTCGAACCCTAAACTTCAAACCCGGAACACCAAACTCGCAATCAGCCTTTGCTCCCAAACTCGACGGTGATGCTAGGCACCATCTCAGTACATACCTGCGCACGAGTGCAGCTAGTAGAAGACAGCCCCAGTCCCCATTCTTAGTGAAGTCAAATGACCGTAAACCCCCATCGAACCATACAAAAGTCTATTCAAAACCTATCAAAACACCGTAGCCTTGCGCAGCCTCCACAATCTGTGCAGCACAGCATTTGGCCGCGGGACAGGTGCGAACCCAGACCCTTCGCCGGTGCCGAAAGGTGCGGATGGCTTCCGTAACCCTGCACCCGTTTTTTAGGGTTTAGGGTTTATAAGGTTAAGATATACCCTAAACCCTGAGTTCTGAACCCTAAACCGTAAACCCTTAACCACAATCGGGTTCAGAACGGGTTTTCGCTTTTCGACTTCACAGTTTAGGTTGATGCAGTCAGAGCGGATGCTTTGTGTGGAGGAGGCTGCTTGGTGTATGCATGCATACCTTAAGAACCCAAAACCTACTTTCTTGTAGGGTCCAAATAAATCCCATATTAGGGTTTATAATACGAACCTACAAAAAAGTGGGTTTTGGGTTCTTAAGGTACAGGTAAGTCCCTAAACCCCAAACCCTAAACCCTAAGCCCTAAACCCTAAACCCTAAACCCAAAACCCAAAACATGCCGTGCAGCACCGGGAGGCCCCAGCAGAGCCATTCGTGCGGGGAACGTCGTCGACGTTTACGGAGCTTTCGATGACTGCTCTTCGGCGCGCGAAATTTAGTTTGATAATATAATGTAAGTCGTTCCTACAATTGTTAAACCATTCATAATAATAGTAATTGTAATTACTATCATTCGTGTGCGTTTGGAGTGAAGGCTTAGGCTGCCGGGGGGAGGTTCGTTTTTTTTGGAATGAGGTTCCCTGTGTTCTTGCAGCCTCTCTCTGCATGCATGTATGTATGGTGTGCGCATGTATGTATGTGTGTATGTATGTATGTATGTATGTATGTATGTATGTATGTATGTATGTATGTATGTATGTACGTATGTCTGTATGTATGTACATAGACGTCGTGAGATATAACATCATGCAACATATACTTGTACAACATTGTTGTATACCATGCATCTTCATTTGTGCACATATGTATTCATCGATGTGTAGCACGTTTCCACACGTATGTAGTGTGCATGTATCGTCACATAAATATATAATATCTATGTATGTGCATGAAACAGGGCCATAGTTATCGTATATTGATTTTACATCAGGCGGTTGTCGAAGATGGCAAATGCTAGCGGTGACCTGTAAAACGACAGGGGACGCCCGAAAGACGATACCCTCAACACAGCAATGCTGCATTGCAACCCTTGGCTCCTGGTATCTTTCAAGAGAGGGTGTCGGGAGTTTAGGTTCTAGTAAAGGTGTCGAGGTTGTCGTTAGGGTTTAGGGTTAGGGTTTAGGGTTTAGGGTAATGAGACGACGTCCCTAAATTGGACAGAACGATACCCGCACGATACTCACAATGTAGCCCCGAATGGCCGGAATGGGCCCGTCAACGCTCATGCACTGTGCCAGTACTATTCCTTGGACCAGAACCCGAAAGCCCAAAAACTGAAGACTCCAAGGAGTCCAAAAATCTTTAAAACCGTGAAATCCTATTAGCATAAATCCCAGGCTTTGACCAACTCTCTGCACCACAAAAAGCTTCGCATGCTCTCAGACACCAGTTCATCATGAGGGCGCGATGCCGCGCCCTTTCGAAATGCAAAGCAGACGAACTTCAAAACCCAAAAGGTTCAAGGACTTCAAAAGTCCCAAAGACCGCAACCCAAGGCCACACCCTGGAATGCTGCGTGTTCTATACTGTAACTCCTTACTCTAAAGGAGTGTATCGTTTGTTCTAGTATGCTTCAAGTTGCAAACACTGTAGCACGATAGGGGACGCCCTATTAAAACAGTGAAGCTGGCATGAACAAATAATTTTGACGTTGGCTCATATATGAACAAACATGCTTGTATATACATATGCATGTATATACACACATTCATGTACCTAGCTCGCATTATGTTTACAGCGGTGTCAATGTTGGGACGGATCTCGAGCTGTGGCACCATGTCACGATGCATGGTCTCATCAATACCCGAAACCGTAACGTTAGGATCCTAGACCCTAAACCCTAACCCCTAAACCCTAAACCCCTAAACCCCTAAACCCTAGGAGCCCTAACGTTAGGATCACATTGAGTTGTTCTGCTCAAAGGCCCCTGGGCCACCCGAAAACCCCTAAGTCGGAAGCCTGGACCCCAGAAGCAAGAGATGCTAAACCTATGAAAAGACCCCAGAAGGGGTTTAGGGTTAAGGGCCCGTAATCCTATAGCCTTAAAGGCCGCAAGCCCCTCAACATCCCTCAACATCAGCCTAAATTCCCAGCGCCGGCCCCGTACTCAAATGAAGCCTGCATTTTAGCCTACAGCAGCAGCCCCTTTTTTGGCTTCGTAGTCAACATCCACTGTTATTGTTTATACCCTCAGCCCCAAACCCTAAAACCCTAAACCCTAGACCCCATCTGATACTGCTGATACCCTAAACCCTAAACCCTAAACCTTAAGATGCTTTATAGGCTGTTGCTTGGCAGACCTGCCCTGAGGCCTTGACCCTCAATCCACAAACCCTGCACCCCCTAGAGTTTAGGGTTTGGGGATTTAGGGTTTGCGGGTGCGCGGTTTGGGGTTTAGGGTTTTGGCGGTGCAGGGTTTGGGGGTTTAGGATTTTGGGGTTTT